CAAAAAAGAACATCTTACCTACATAACAGAAGCATATAGAGAACACCCAACAAGCAAGATCCCAGGACAAACACTTCTAGACACATTATAGTAAAAATGAAAGATCTGAATAATAAGGAAACAATCCTGCATGCAGCGAAAATGAAGGAGCTATACTGCAATGGAAAAAAAATTAGACTCACTGCAGATCTCTCTACACAAACAATGAACCAAGAAAGGCCTGGGAAAGCACCATATGAGCCCTGAGAGCAAATAACTGCCAACCCAGACTGATATACCCGGCAAAGCTAGCATTCACATTCGATGGAGAACTGAAAATTTTTAATAGCAAAGAAAAACTAAATAAATACATAAACATTAAGCCAGCATTACAAAGAATTCTAAGAGGGGGGGACACAACCTGAAGAAAGCAACCAGGAACTGGGACCTGCCCCAGACAGGCATTAATCAAAGTCTAACTTAGCAAGCACAGGAGGAAAGGAAAGAAGAAAAACTTAGGAAAACGGAATGACAGGGACAACAATACATCTCTCTATACTTTCTCTTAATATTAATGGGCTTAATTTGCCAATGAAAACGAACTGCAGACTGGATCAGAAAACAAGACCCATCCATCTGTTGCCTTCAGGAGACCCAACCTCTCAGCCAAACATACAAACAAATTCAGAGTAAAGGGTTGGAAAAGGATCTACCAATCAAATGCCCCCAATAAGAAAGCAGGTGTAGCTATCCTGATAGCTGACAAAATAAACTTTTCATTAAAATCAGTACAGAAAGACAAGGACGACACTACATATTAATAAAGGGAACAATCCAAGAGGAGGATATAACCATCATCAACTTATATGCCCCAAATATTGGTGCACCCAGATATGTTAAACAAATGCTCTCAAACTTACAGAATAAAATAGATCCCAATACAATAATACTAGGAGACTTTAACACGCCACTCTCACCAAAGGACAGGTCTACCAACCAGAGGATTGGCAAAGAAGCTACCGAATTAAGTGAGGCCATACTTCAAGCGGAATTAACTGACATCTACCGAGTATTTCACCCTAAAACAACACAGTACACATTCTTCTCAGCAGCTCATGGAACTTTCTCCAAAATAGACCATATCATAGTTCATGCAAGGAACTTAAGCAAATACAAAGGGATCGACATAATCCCCTGTATCCTATCTGACCACAGTGGAATCAAGCTAGTTCTCAATAACAAAGCATACCGCAGAAATGTCTCTAATACATGGAAATTGAACAGCACTCTCCTTAGCAATGCCTGGGTAACGGAAGAGATCAGAGAAGAAATAAAACATTTCCTACAACTCAATGAAAATGAAAATACCTCACAAAGAAACTTTTGGGACACAGCAAAAGCAGTCCTGAGGGGCAAATTTTTTGCCCTCAGTGCCTACATCAAGAGAATGGAGACCGGCCAAGTAAATAATCTCATGTTGCAATTAAAACAGTTAGAAAAACAAAAAATGGAACCTAAAGTTACTAGATGAAGCCAGATAACCAAATTAAGAGCAGAGATTAACCAATTAAAAAATCAGAAAATTATAGCCAAAATAAACCAAACAAAAAGCTGGTTCTTTGAAAAAATAAACAAAATTGATGGCCCGTTGGCAAGACTAATTAAAAAAAGAAGAGAGGAAATCCATATTAACAGGATTAGGGATGCCACAGGAAACATCACAACACGTACCCAAGATATCCAAACAATTCTAACGGACTACTTTCAAAAGTTATACTCTCTAAAGGAAGAAAACCTGGCAGAAATGGATGCATTTTTAGAGAAATACAAGTTGCCCAAACTGAGCAAAGAAGAAGTAAACCAATTAAATAAGCCAATATCCTACAACGAGATACAGGAAGCTATCAAAAGTCTTCCAACAAAAAAAAGCCCAGGACCAGATGGATTCATAGCAGAATTCTGTAAGACCTTTAAAGAAGAACTAATACCCATACTCCTCAAGCTCTTCAGAGAAACAGAGAAGGAGGGAGCTATCCCAAACTCATTCTATGAAGCCAATATCACACTCATCCCCAAACCAGGCAAAGACCCAACCAAAAAGGAGAATTACAGGCCAATTTCCTTGATGAACACAGATGCAAAGATCCTTAACAAGATTCTAGATAACAGAATCCAGAAACACATAAAAAAATCATACACAATGACCAGGTAAAGTTTAACATACGTAAGTCAATAAATGTAACCCAACACATCAACAGAGCCAAGGTGAAGAATCACATGATTTTCAGGTGGACCTGTTGCAACAATGAGAAGTACAAAATGTCATGTCAAAAAGGAGCTTTACAATGTCGGTGTGGGGGGGGAGGGGGGGAAGGATTGGGTGGGGGGGAGGGGGGAGGCTGGGAAGGGAGGTGAAGGGTAAACAAAGGAGGAGGCTGCAATGCTTGGTAAGAAATGTATGCATTATCCTGCCCAAGTAATTGTAACCCCTCTGTACAGTATGTTCTCAAATAAAATAAAATTAAATTAAAAAAAAAAAAAAAAGAATCACATGATTACCGCCACAGATGCAGAAAAGGTCTTTGATAAAATTCAACATTCATTCATGCTAAAAGCTCTGGAGAAAATAGGAATAGGAGGAACATTTCTAAAAACAATAAAAGCCATTTATGACAGACCAATAGCCAATATTATACTTAATGGGGAAAAGCTACAACCAACTCTCCTAAAATCAGGAACAAGGCAAGGATGCCCACTGTCTTCACTCCTCTTCAATATAGTCCTGGAACCCTTAGCCAGGGCAATAAGACAAGAAAAAGACATTAAAGGGATCCGCATAGGGAAAGAAGAAGTTAAACTATCCCTTTTTGCAGACAATATGATACTATATCTTCACAATCCCCAAAACTCCATCCCCAAACTCTTAGAAATCATATATCACTTCGGCAAAGTAGCAGGATACAAAATAAACCCACAAAAATCAGTTGCCTTCCTGTACACTGACAATGTACAAGAAGAGAGGGAAATAAAGGAAGCAACCCCATTCACAATAACCTCCCAAAAAATATTTAGGAATTAACCTAACCAAAGATGTAAAAGAACTATTTAATGAAAACTATAAAAAGTTAAAGAAAGAAATTGCAGAAGACACTAGGAAATGGAAAGACCTCCCATGCTCTTGGATAGGCCGACTTAATATAGTAAAGATGGTAATACTTCCAAAATTAATATACAAATTTAATGCAATTCCTATTAAAATACCAATGACGTACATCACTGAAATACAGAAAACAGTCCAAAAATTCATATGGAACAACAAAAGACCTAGAATAGCCAAAACAATTCTAGGGGATAAAGACAATATGGGAGGGCTCTCCATGCCGAACTTCAAACTCTACTACAGAGCTATAATAACAAAGACAGCATGGTACTGGCACAAAAACAGACCCGAAGACCAATGGAACAAAATAGAAGATCCAGAAATAAATCCACAGACCTACAGCTAGCTGATATTCGACAAAGGAGCCAAAGACATACAATGGAAGAAACACAGCCTCTTCAACCACTGGTGCTGGGAAAACTGGGTGCCCACATGCAGAAAACTAAAAGTGGACCCCAGCCTATCACCATGTACCAACATCAACTCAAAATGGATTAAAGACCTTAACATTAAACCTGATCTCTGAGACTATTGCAGGACAGAGTAGGAGAGACACTTGGACTAATAGGCACAGGAAGGAACTTCCTGAACAGAGTCCCAGGGTCACAACAAATTGGAGAGAGACTCGACAAATGGGACTACCTTAAAATAAAAAGCTTCTGCACAGCTAAATCTATTGCAACCAAGCTAGAAAGACAACCAACTAATTGGGAAAAAATATTTACCAGCAATATATCAGACAAGGGTTAACATCCTGTATATGCAGGGATCTCAAGAAACTAATCCCTCCCAAACCTAACAAATCAATTACTAAATGGGCAAGGGAACTAAAGAGGGACTTCTCAGATGAATAAAAATGGCAAAGAAACACATGAGGAAATGTTCATCATCCCTGGTGGTGAAGGAAATGCAAATAAAGACAACCCTGAGATACCACCTTACCCCAGTCAGAATGTCCCACATCCACAAATCAGCAAACGACAAATGCTGGAGGGGATGTGGAGAAAGAGGAACCCTATTACACTGCTGGTGGGAATGTACACTTATACAACCACTTTGGAAAGCAGTCTGGAGGGTCCTTAGAAAGCTAAAGATTGACCTCCCTTATGACCCAGTCATACCACTTCTAGGCATCTACCCTGAACAACAGGAACCAATATACAAGGACACGTGCACCTCCGTGTTTATTGCAGCACTGTTCACAATAGCTAGGATATGGAAACAACCCAGATGCCCCACCACAGATGAATGGATCCAAAAATTGTGGTATCTATACACAATGGAATATTATGCAGCCATTAGAAATGACAAAATAATGGCATTTGCAGGGAAATGGATGGAGCTAGAAGGAATCATGTTGAGCGAGGTAAGCCAAGAGCAAAGAGATAAATGGTACATGGTCTCCCTGATAAGTTGATGCTAAATCCAAAATATTAGGTGAAATGACAAAACAGGACTCAAGAAACAAAGAACTCCCACTCATCCGGTCGAACCACTACTAAATATCCCCATGCTGCTGATCACATGTATGGTGTATATGTGTACACTGTTATATGTTATAGACTGTGATAGACAATTTGCTCCAGGAAAGTTAGAATGAACTTGTGACTTTAAATGAGCATCATTATTCCACAATACTGTGAAATTCGGGAAATTATGTAATCACTTAATCACAATAAAAAAAAAAAAAAAAAAAAGAACCTCGGGGAAGGTAGGGAAGGAAGGGATGGTAGGAGGAAAACAATGGAGGGGGTAACAATGCTCAATAGGAAGTGTACTCATTACTTTACTCATGTAACTGTAACCCTCTGTATAGTATCTTTACAATAAAAAATAAACAAAAAAACAAAATTTAACTCACCTGATGGATCCTCAGTCATATCAAGTTTAAGTGCCTTTGTTCCATCAAAACAAAATGCCTTGATGGAATTCAGTCCTAACAATAAAGCATTCTGTTTTATTTTTTCTACTTTATTGGATATTTTATCCAGGGCTATTACTTCTCCCTAAAAAGAAAAAGAAAGTATAAATCCAAAACAGTCACAAACAACTAAAAAAAAAAAAAACCTTAAAAATTAGAATCTCTACTTTCCTCCTAGTCCTACTTCTAAAGCTAAATTTAATAAACACGTGTGTATTGTGTTGTCTAGGAGCATACAGCACTACAAAGACAACCAAACAAAAATTCAATTTATGCCAAATACTTGAATCTTTCATAAAAAATGCACTCTTGTCAATTGATCTTACAGCTAGCTATGTTTACTAGCATATATTAACTGTACAAAAAGGTTAGAAGTACTTTGAAAATACTGGCCTCCTGTCATTTTCTCATTCCTCCCCCCACCTTTTTTTTTTAAACAATTTTAATTGGTTCCATTACTCTTCATATTTTTTAACAATATTAATGGGTTTCATTATTCTATTTTCATTATTCTATTCTATATGAACATAACGTAGTTCATTTATCTTCATCTCCGCAATCACCCTCTCTTTCCACATTTCTCCCTCTGCATGGTTCACTCTCTGCAAGATATTCACAGTCATATCTATGAAGAACCTTTGTAATGGTAGCTCCTTAATTTTAGCCAACACTAATGAAAACTGAAAATAGAGTTCTCAATCTTCTCAAGGAATTTAAAAGCATCCATTGAAGGTAAACATTAAGAATCACCTATTTGAGCCAGGAACTGGTGGCTCATACCTGTAATGCTAGCTACCCATGAGTCTGAGATCTGAGGACTGTGAGTCAAAGGCAGCCTTGGCAGAAAAGTCTATGAGATTATTATCTCTAATTAATCACCAAAAAGAAGTAGAGCTGTGGCTGATCTCGTAGAGCCTTGAGCAAAAAAAGCCCAGGGACAGAGCACAGATCTTGAGTTCAAGCCCTAAAACCAGAAAAAAAAAAAATCACCAATCTGATGTGACCTAATCATCTCTGCAAGAGCATTAATTCTATTCTATAACTAAAGTACCTTTAGTTGGAAGTGAACACTATTTGTAAAACTGATCATTTTGATATTTTCAATTTATTCATATAAAATTCAAGTAATATCATGGTGATATTTAATGCCAGAAAAAGATCCCTGTGGATCGTTCTTCACTGCATGCACACTTCCTTCACACTGCCATGCAAACTAAGGCTCACTGCACTTGTTGCCATCAGGATGACAGTAAATTTACCACAAAGACATTAAAATCACTTGAATACTTGGTGATTTGCTTGTTTTTCCTTTCTGCCATTACTATTCATCAATGACTGACTTTTCTGGGTTTAACTCAGGACCTATGGGGAAAAGAGAAAGGCAGCACATCCTAGCTGTCTCAGCTAAGGTCACTTTAAATAACTGAAAACCAGTCAAACCCATTGAGTAAGACCACTCAAACTTTCCAGAACCATCCTGCTAAACTGCAGGTGACCAGATACATGAGCCAGGCTAATAGAAATTAAGTGAATGCCACAAACCCCTGAGCCTAATAAAGCTGTTTGCACCTGAGTCTTGCATTTCTTTCATAACATTACAAAACAAAGTATAAAGGGCTATACTGGTAATATTCAGACTCTCTTCAGAAAGACCTTTTTTACTACAGCAAATAAAGTATCTAGACGTGTGACTCAATACAGGACCCCGGCTTACTATGAACAAGGTCTTGCATTCAACCCCACCACCTTAAAATAAAACATTTAAGTCAGGTACCAGAGGTTCTCACAACTTTAATCCTAGCTGCTCAGGAGGCTGATATCTAGAGAATCAACATTTGAGGCCAACAGACCAGGCAAAATAATTCTCAACACTCATTTTTTTTTCAATTAACCAGCAGAAATATGGCTGGAGGTATAGCTCAGAGACAGAACACTAGCCAAATAAACACAAGGCATGAGTTCAAACCTCAGTAATGTGAACAAAACAACAAAAAAAAACACCACCACCTATTTTTATGTATATAAATTTTTTATCGTCTCTGTTTAGAACACTGAATATTTCATAAATTACTATAGGGTTAATAATGTTTAGTGTGAAGTTTTCACCAGAAATCTGGATAATAACACAATTTATACTGTATTTCTATTTTTCAAAAATATTATAAGTCCCTTTAAAGTCTTACAATTATCATATTGATCAAAAATGGATCTACTCATAAAAATCTCCACCCACTACCAAAAGCCACTTGAGCAGTAATTCCTAGCCTATCTCACCTACACAAAGATGTGTTCTAAAAATTATCCTCATTGCTCCTGGCACTATGAATTTCTCCTCTTAATATATCTACTTTCACTAGGATTTAAACATTGTTATTCTTTAGTTGAAGAGTAATTACAAAGCTACAATGACTTCTGAATAGTGCCTTGAATAACTTTTGATAATGCCTACCTATAATAAAAGAAAATATTTTAGTTGGGAGGTGATGACTCATGCCTGAAATTCTAGCTGCTCAGGAGGCTGAGAACTGAGGATTACAATTTGAAACAAGCTGGGGCACAAAAGCTCCAATTAATCAACAAAAATGCCAGACTGGAGGCATAGCTCCAGTTGTAGGTGTTAACGCAAGTGGTAGAGTGCCAGCTGAGACTGAAATGGAAAAAGCCCAGCAAAAAATACTGGCTCCTACTAATTCAAGCCCTAGAACTGACACAATTTCTTTTTTCTTTTTTTTTGCCAATCCTGGGGCTTGAACTCAGGGCCCTGACGCTGAGCCTCTCAGTGCTCAAGGCTAGTGCTCTAGCCCTTTAGCCCCCGTTCCACTTTTGGCTTTTTGGGAGTAGTTTATTGGAAGTCTGTAAGACTTCCCTGCTTTTGGCTGGCTTCGAACCACAATCCTTAGATCTCAGCCTCCTGAGTAGCTAGGCTGTATTACAGGTGAACCACAAGTGCCTAGCTCATTTATTTTTTTTTTAAACTTAAAAATTTCTAAAAACAGAAAACACCTTTGCATATATACCTAGGTACATATGCTAAAGTTACATAAAGTCAGGTTGCTCCATTATTTTGTGACAATAAAGCAGCATCATAAGGTTTATATAATCCTAAAGATATTCATACACATTCTACACATACATATTACATTGCATTATATGTTTATTTCAACAGAGCTAATGTATTGTCAGATTACTTTGTAGTTTTATAGTACCAAGTACAAATTTGAATAATAAAGAACAGGAAAAGCTCTTAAGTGTTTTGAAGTTAGTTTTGTGAGTAAATAGTTCTGTATTGCAGTCTTCACAAGTAACTGTCTACTGAACCTACCCTAGCAGCTGACACAAATCATCTTCATTTTAGATGGAATTGATGTAAATTGGATGATGAATATCTAGGTTCCATCCTAACCAATGAAATACACTACATGTTTAGAGCCTCACCTGATCATGCATTAGTGACGCAATATGAGTTGTTTTGCCTCCAGGTGCTGCACACATATCTAGGATCTTCTCTCCAGGTTGAGGATTCAGAACATGAGTTACTACAGCAGATGGCAAATTCTGTAAGAAAATCACCTCACTCAATTCAATAATTATTAATTTTAAATCATTTTTATTTTAGAATCAGAATGTAAAATAGCCTTTGAAATTAGATGTGGTGGCACACAGCTGTCATCTCTGCACTTAGAAGGCTGAGACAGAAAGTGTCAAATTCAAAGCCTCCTGGACTCAGTCAGTTTTTTACACACACACACACACACACACACACACACACGCACACACACACACACACACACACACACACACACGTTCCTCAGAGTTGTGCCTTTGGGTTCTTCCCCCAAGTGTACCCTCCTTTAGTCAGAGTGTAAATGAATAGAGCCCTGTACATGTTATCTTGCACAGCTATATTTTAAATATAGCTTCCACATGAGAGAAAACACGCCATCTCTCACTCTGTGCCTGGCTTACTTCATTTAACATGTTTTGTTCTAGATCTATCCTTTTCCTGGCAAATGACATCTTATTCTTTCTAATGGATGAATAAAACCACATTCTATATGTGGTAGCATCATTTTCTTGATCCACTCATCCATGATAGGGCATCTGGGCTGTTTTCATACTTGGCTATCATGAATGGTGCAGCATTGAACATGGATATGCTAGTGTCTTAACTGTATCCTAACTTGTAATGTAGATGCCTAGACGTAGTATGGCTGGACAACAGGCTAGATCTATGTGTTTTTTTTGAGAAACTAGTACTAGTTTACCACCTTTCAGCATCGTTGTACATTCCTATCATAGTGTAATAGTGTTCTTTTCTCCCCATATCCTCACCAGCATTAATGTTCAAATTGTCAATGCTGGCCAATCTTACTGGGGTGAGATGGACTCTCAATGTTGGTTAGATTTGTGTTTCCTTTATGACCAGGGATGTTGAGCATTTCCTCATGTGGTTTTTGTTTTGTTTGTCATTGTGCTCTTCTTCTAAAAAGTCTCTAACTCCTTTGAACATTTATTGACTGATTTTTGGGGGGAGAGGGGTTAGTTTCATAAGCTCCTTGTATATTTTGGATATTAGGCCCTTGTCAGAAGGGATACATCAAACTAAAAAGTTTCTGTATAGCAAAGGACATAGTAACTAAATAAAAGACAGCCCACAGACTGGGAAAATATCTCTTCCAATTATACATCTAATAAAGAATATTATCCTATATGCTGGTTCAAGACAATAGTTATTAGGAGAGTTACATGAAAAAACAAACAAACAGGTCTTTACACTCATTTTAAAGCTAGATAAGTTTATGTGATTGGAGAGAGGGAAGATCTAGTTCTCAAAACCAGTTAGACTAGCAACCCTAGTTTCCTTATTTGTAAGAGGAAATAAATCCATCGAGCTGTTGGGGAAATAAGATCTTTCTTCTAGGCTTGGCTGGAATCAATACTCTCACAGCCCGTCAGATACCTTAGATTCAGTCCATCACTAATAACCCACTAAGTAAAAGCATCCAACTTGTTGGCATTTTTAAGTGAACAGATTATAGACAATAGAAACAGAGCAGAAATCTCTAATGAATAAGGCATCCTACCTACACATTTAATACAATAACGACCTAAGGAAATTTACATAATACACATTTACATAAATTAGCACTTCTATCATATAGAATATAAAGTATTATAATAAAAAGATTTGTAACTCAAGTATGCTTCTCCTATCATAGGGATTCAAATCTTTTGGAAACTTCTTAGAAGATATAAAAATCTTAGTGTCAACTCAACTGTATTAATGAATTTTCACTCTAACAAACTTTCCAAGATTGTTATTACAGTTATACATAATACTGATCCATACAATCCAGATTGAAACAAACATGGAGGGGCTGGGCTGTAGGAGCCCTGGGTTTCTTACTGAGCACCACCACCCTACATAAACAGAAAAACTGAAATTGAAAATAGACTCCTAGAAGGTCAAATTTAGGACAATGTTAGCATTAAAATAATACAGCAATGAGGGCTGGGAAGGTGGCTTAGGGGTAGAGTGCTTGCCTAGCATCATAAAGCCCTGGCTTCAATTCCTCAGTACTATATAAACAGAAAAAGCCAGAAGTGGCACTGCGACTCAAGTGGTATAGTGCTAAACTTAAGCAAAAGAAGCTTCAGGGACAACACCCATACCCTGAGTTCAAGCCCCAGGACTGGCAAAAAATAATACAGCAATGAATTTGACTAAGAACAAATTTTTGAATCTGAATTGTTAATAAGCAGAGAGGAAAAGAAGGATTTTATATTAAAATGTTGAGTGAGAAATGTTGAGAATAGGGAGCTTTTTTTTTGGAGGGGGGGGGAAGGAAGGAGTGGAAGTGCCAGTCCTGGAGCTTGAACTCAGGGTCTGGACACTGACCCTAAGCTTTTTTTGCTCAAGGCTAGTGCTCTACTACTTGAGTCATAACTCTACTTCCAGTTTTCTTTTCTGGTGCTTAATTGGAGATAAGAGTCTCTCAGAGTTTCCTGCTCACACTGGAAAAGGAGGATTTTTTTTATTTTTATTTTAAACAATAATGACTACCTCAGACAAAGATCACCAACAGATGATAAAGCTCAGAGGAAATTTTAATGAGCAGAATATTTTGATAATTTTTAAAGTTTCTCCTAAAGATTACTGGAGACATAGAGGAAAAAGCATAATTATACATTTTGTGGAAAAAATAAAACATCTCTATAAGGTGATCAAAATGAGTCAGACACAGTGGCTTAAGCCTATAATCCTAGCAATAGGGTAGCTCAAGATAAACTTGGGTACCTAAGTTTGTGAGACTATCTCAACTGATGACTGGGTGTGGTGGCACATCCTAGTCATCCAAGCAACAAAGCAAAGAACAAATACTGGAGGATCAAACTTTAGGGGGACTATCTTGAGAATAACCAATGTAAAAAAGAACTGTGAAGGGGGCTGGGAAGGTGGCTCAGTGGTAGAGTGCTTGCCTCACATGCATGAGGCCCTGAGTTCGATTCTTCAGCACCTTATAAGCAGAAAAAGCTGGAAGTGGTGCTGTGGCTCAAATGGTAGGTAGAGTGCTTGCCTTGATTTGCCTTGAGCTGAAGAGCTGAGGGACAGTGCCCAGGCCGAGTTGAAGCCCCACGGCCCACAGAAAAAAAAAAAAAAAAAAAAACAACGAACTGAGAGGGTGTCTTAAACAGACCCCAGTACAGTCACAATAAGAAAAAAAAAAAAGATTGAGCAAATGAAAGTCATCAATGAGGACACATGGACTTTGTATGACTACAAATATAATTCCTTCAGGCTTACATGTCTGTACCATAACATAAGCATCAGTAACTCCTGATGAGAGAATGGCAAATGTAATACAATATAAAAATGTAATACAAAATAAAAATTCTGGTAAGTTTCTTATGTAACAAGGCAATAAAAAAAAGACATTTGGCTAACAGCAATAGTGGAAGCACATCAGAGAAAATGTTACTTTCCAAAATAGGATAACTTTATATTATACAATTGAAGATAAAATAAGAAGAGTCTTACTCAGGCAAGATGGGAAGAAATTGAAGTTAATTATAGACAGTGAGAATTCACTATAAAGAACTGAGCTAAATAAACAAGATTAGATTTCATAATACTTGAAAATTACTTACCACAGCGCCTAACATATAACACAAAAAACATATTCCTTATGTTCTTAGGGAAAAGAAATCCTAAAGTCTGACATTTCCTATGTGGTAGTTTCGAAACACGATTATAAGTAACAATACTCTTGTGAAGTCCAAAATATACAAATGAAAAATAGATGCCTTATACCCACCCCACACCTACTGAAGCACAATCTGCAAGTAAACATAAAGGCATTTCATCTGTGTATCTTCAACTAAAATCAGAAATGTCGAGCTAACTATGAGAACATCAGACAAGGTCCAGGTGAGGGATACTCTACAAAATACCTTATATTTTAAAAACGTGGTGGTCTTTACAAACAAGGAAAGAAAAGAATCACTATCAAAGCCAGAGCAAAATAAGCGATATAGGATTAAATGCAGTGTGGGATTCTAGATTAGATCCTGGAAGAAAAAGGGCATGAAGAAAAAACTTTTGAAGTCTGAATAAAATTTGTAAAGTATAATGTGACATACACAACATCTGAGTGTCTATATACTGCATATGTAAAATACTAATGTTATGTATAAATGTGCCAGGCTGACATTATTGTTTTTATAAGATGAGGCATCAGTATGTTACCTAGGCTGGACTTCAACTTAAAGGCTCAAGTGATACTCCCACCTCAGCCTCCAAGTAGCTAGAATTAGTTTCTAAATATTGACAAATGTTTCATCACACTATAAGATTTCACTGTAGGGAAATAAAGGCCATACGGGAACTCATATTATTATTCAGAACCTGTAATTCTAAAACTCAACTCTAATTCTAAAATCATCCTCAAATAAAAAACATTATTTAAGAAATCTCTAATAATATTCCCTAGAGATTCTTTAATGTTCTCTGAGTGATTTGATGCATACCATCTTACTCCAGAGTGGACAATTACTGGTGTGAAGAAACTACAAAATTTCTGAGAAATAGGACTCTCTGTATAGGTACATGAAAGGCGTCTGTCTCTTTTTTTTTTGGCAGTCCTGGGGCTTGAACTGAGGGCCTGGATGCTATCCTTGAGCTATTTTGCTCAAAGCTAGCACTCTACCACTTTGAGCCACAGATCAACTTCAGTTTTCTAGTGGTCAATTAGAGATATAGGTCTCATGGACTTTCCTGCTTAGGCTGGTTTTGAATCTTCCTCCTTAGATCTCACTCCACCTCCTGAGTAGCTAAGATTACAGGTGTGAACCACCAGCAAGCAACTTATGTATCTCTTACATTAGATCAAATTAAACCTGAAACCATAATGGAGATGATGTCATGGCTATGCTCCTTAGCTTCTATAAAAGCCTAGATGCTGACACTTAAAAGCAAAGGGACAAGATTGGGCACGTTCAGACTTGGTTTAGGGTTAAGAACACAGACTTGAAGTCAAAAAGCTGAGTTCAAATTTTGGTTTTGCTGATTTCTATTGACACAGTAAGCAAATCACTCAATAACTAGAAAATTATTGCGTATCTATTATATGCTATGCATTTTATGTTACTAAGCCTCCATTTCTTTATCTTTGAAACTGGGAATCTATAAGAAAAATATGAAATCCTAAATAAAACTATGGAATAAGTCATTCATTTAATATTAGCTGCTACTACATTATCATTTTTAATGTCTTCTTGGCCAATCAGTGGTCATCAGTACATACTACATAAAATAGCTTCCACTAAATGATGGGTTAAACTCTACAAAAGCTTTTTAAAGTCTCATGTTCCTGCTGGGCACCTGTAATCCTGATTACTCAGGAAGCTGAGATCTGAGGATCACAGCTTGAAGCCAGCTCCAGCAGGAAAGCCCATGAGACTCTGATCCTCAACTACCAAAAAGCTTGAAGTGGAACTGTGGCTTAAGTGGTAGAGAGCTAGTCTTGAGCACAAAAGTTCAGGGACAGCACCCAGACCCTTAGTTCAAGTGCAAGGACCAGCAAACAAAGAGAGTGAAAGGGGCAGGGGGAGGAAAGAAGGAAGGAAAGGAGAAAGGAAGGAGGGAGGGAAGTCCATGAGACTCTGGTCTCCAATTACCTACCAAAAAGCTGGAAGTGGAGTTATGACTTGAGTGGTAGAGAGCTAGTTTTGAGAACAAAAGCTCAAGGACAGTATGCAGGCCTTGAGTTAAGTGCCAGGGCCAATAAAGAGAAAGGGGGAGGTGGGAGGGAGGAAAGAAGGAAAGAAAGGAGGGAGGGAAGGAAAAGAAAAAGGAAGGGAAAGAAAGAAGTCTCATTAATAGTGATAAATGACTCTAAGGGTAATGTGGACATTATGAATCACGAAACATTTCACAATTTATATTTTATAAAGTCACTGCTACCACTAAGCTGGTTTTAAAGCTAGAAGTGGGTGGGGGTGGCTTACACAGCTCTATTATATTTTCAGTTGTATATCCTTGTGTCTACTTCATCACTAATGTGCAATTAGATGGTAATAAACAATCATTTTCTGTTTGTTCACCCAGAAATGTTTGTATTTGTAAAATAGCTTTTGGTTTATTTCCAGGATGAGAAGCAGCACATCCATCCAGGCTTGGGTTTGTGTTCAGACTCTATTGAGCATTAGTGTGAATTTAGCCAAGAGCTTGAACAGATCTAGTCTTCAGTAACTTCATCTTAAACTGGGAATAATGGTATCACTAAAGCAGCAAATTAGTTTTTTAAAAAATCAAATGATCTAACATAACAAACTAACAAAGGCAAAGTAAATATTTACTAAAACACAGTAATCACCTGAAAAAAATCTGATGGTAGTAAAACCATCTGAATCTTACTCAACATTACAAATGGGACATTTATTATCATTGTTATAATTATATATAGCTATATATAATTATTAAAATTATTATTTAGGGACATTCTGAAGTGGAAAGCAGTAATTTTAATATGTACTAAATCACCTTTGAACAGACATAAAAGAGTATAGTTTAAAATAGAACATAAAATGCTGCAGTAGTGATAGCATTTGTAATCGCAGCTCTCAGGAGGTAGACACAAGGACCAAGCATTAAAGAGGCCAGCCTGGACACATTTCAAGGCTATGTCTCAAAAAGTTTATAAAGATCGATATAGAAAAAGGAAAACAACAAAGTGCTTACAAAACTTTCTCTTGCTGTTCAAGCAAAAGTAGGTCAAACCACAAATAAATGACAAAATATGTTAGAAATTTTTTTTTAAATAATTAAATTTCAAATAATTTACTGAGGTTGCAATGTCACTGAATATTTCACTCTCATAAATACTTACCTGTAAAAATAAGTAACTAGGCAGTACATTGTCAAATGAAGGGCTGAGATATATGGGTTCTGTCATTCTTATGCCTATACCCCTGAAAAATGAGAAGTCCTTTATTAGTTTGTATAAATCACAAAGTATAAATTAGTTTGTATAAATCACAAAGTATACATTTTTAGGAATATACTACTGTGAGGTATTTTTCAATTTTTACCTGAAGATAGAGTACAAGTGGCCCTTTCAGTGTTAAAAAGGGTAACACTAATAACTTTTTCATTTATGTAAAAGAGATCTTTAGAGATCTGAATAAATCAAAAAGCAAACCACACCTGGTTTTTGAATGAGTTATTTGTATCTTTCTGCAACTGAATTATGGTTATAGTTATTAGCTTTTCCAATCAAGAACCATTTAGTGAAGCACACATACATACAAATACACACACACACACACACACAAAAGCACGCACACTCTCGCGTTCACTTTCCTGTTGTTTCCACAGTCAGAGGCATGGACTGCTACAATCCCAGGATGACCATTTTGCCCCTGGTCTCACCTGAAGAGTGGCAGTATAGCTGGTGAGTACAGAGGGGACAAGGACACAAAAAAGAACAATGGCTAGTGACTCAAAAGACAAATACACATATACCTCAGAGAGATAGGCAGTATCCATCAAAGAGCAGAGAGCACAAAAACACAGAGAATACCAACACTAGAAAAAAACTGCTGCTTTCTACTCCCACATTCAGAAGTGCTCAGAAAACGTTATTCAGCACACACTGAAGGAAGAGCATACCCTGATCATCCATTAACCGAGGCCATCAAAATAATTCCCTACTACAAAATGAAAATAAAGACAGCAGGTAGTCATAATCTTCATGCTCGTAAAGCATTCCAAAGAGAAGAAAACAGCACGTGGCATTTGGAAAGTACTGCTTTCTAGATTTAGGGAATGCCAACAACCTGCTTCTTCATAAGAATGTTGCACTTACACAGAGAATTGCAACAACATGAAAAACGGTCCCAGGAATCAAGGCTATAGTCCAGTTTTGAATGGATGGCTTCAAATTCTTGCTTATCTATTCCAGCTGTCAACTTTGGAGTAATAGAGTTCTCTATAGCATTCCTGAAAGAGGCTAACAAAAACTGAGCCTAATTCATTGAATGATTTAATTTACCAAGAAGGACTAACAACCAGAGATGATTTAAAACCAATTTTAATTTGGCTTGAACAATTATAGTTTTGCCCATAAACATCCATGAATGCTAGCTCTCTTGGAAAACTTACTTGTATTTAAATTAGGGAAAAAATTTAGTGATAGCATAGTTAGAACTCATGGTCTTGCGTATGCTAAATAAATATAGCACCACTAAAGCTACACTGACAGTTCTTTTTGGTTTAGTTATTTTTTCATATACTATCTCACATAATCATCCTCTAATCTATGCTTCTTGCATAACTGGGATCACAGATTGATCTACCTTGCCTAGCTTGCTTGTTATGAGGTTTCACCGACTCTTTATCCTACACTGCTTAGCCTTGAACCACAAGCCTCAAAACTTTGTCTCCCAAGTAGGTGGGTTTATAAGAGTAAGCAACTATTCCTGGCCCTTTATTTTCAAATTTCAATTTTCATTTTTTTTTGTAAACAAATTCAGAGTGTTAAAAGATCTATAAAAGCCGGGTACCAGGTGCCAGTAGCTCATACCTATAATCCTAGCTACTTAGGAAGCTGAGATCTGAGGATGGCAGTTCAAAACCAGCTAGGGCAGTAAAGTCCATGACTTTAAAACCAGATAGCTGTGTACTCAAAGTGGTAGAGCACTAAAGTGCAAAAGTTCAGGGAGAGCACCCAGGCCCCAAATTCAAACCCCACAACAACAACAAAAAAGCTGATTCTTTACCAAGGTAAATATCCTTCTTCATCCATACAAAAAGTTATCAATAATTAAAATTCAAAAGGCCAAGTATAATTATTTGATAAATACAGCACGACTGGTTGCTTACTTGAACATTTTGGGGTCTTTTTGGCAATACTGGGGATCAAACACAGGTCTTCATTTATGACAGACAAATTCTAAAGCCACTGACCTATATTCCCAGGTCATTACTTAGGGTTTTTAATCTAACCATTTTGATCTAAAGGGCTTTTCTGAAAATGATAGAAATGAGTCAAATAATTTTTTTCAGCTGATTTTATACCAATATTAGTATGCACATAACACAATGTAAGATTTTTTTTTTATATATTGCTTTTAATTTTCTTTTTTTTTTAGGTCCGGTCGTGGGGCCTGAACTCTGGGCCTGGGCACTGTCCCTCAGCTCTTCAGCTCAAGGCTAGCGCTCTACCACTTGAACCACAGCGCCACTTCCGGCTTTTTTCTTTTTGCTTATGTGGTGCTGAGGGATTGAACCCAGGGCCTCATGCATGCAAGGCAAGCGCTTTACCACTGAGACACCTTCCCAGCCCCCTGCTTTTAATTTTCTATAACCACAAAAAGGATACTTATTTCTCATAGCACTTGGTAACATACTTCAGTTCAGGTAGCCCATTAAAGATTTCTTTGCGGCTTAGTTCTGAAATCCCATTTCCAAGAAATACTTTTTCTCCATCAAATTCTTTGGCTCCTTTCTTACATTTCCCTTTAATATCAGAGTATACAGAAACAACATCGCCAACTTTCATAACTAGAGAAAGAAAAGAATCAGATTACACTAATCTATGCGTTTGCAGAATAGAGAAAGTCCTCAAAACTACAATGGGCATCTCTAAGTATATCAATGGTGGATAGGAGCAGTTTAAAACTGTTAATTATGTCAATATGATCATTGATAGAACTCTCAGCTCTCAAATATTTTTTAACATCCAATGAGAAAATTTTCTTTCTTTTCTTGGTGAAAACAAAGCAATAGAGTAATTGGAAATCTCCATCTGAACAGAGAAGAATAATTATTTCCTCCAAATCTAACATTCATATAAGCTTTCATATCTTGGCTCAATACTCAAAAAGCTAAAAGTTGCCTTCAAATGAATTACTCAAAAAATGTACACCTAAAAAAAATGTTAAAAAAAGTTTTAAAAAAAGTTAAAGAAAAACCAACAAACAAAAACAAAAGTTTTTAGGTTATAGGCCAGACAAAAACAAACAAGGAGCCGACCAAGCCTGTCACTTTGCCTATTCTTATGTGAGTCGAGGTATTTACCTCACACACAAGCTGAGGCCAAAATAGTGAACAAACTTCTACCAGATCAAAATCAGTGTTTCCTTATTACACATTGAATGACTTAGCCACATCCAGACACAGTGACTAACTTACTAAGCATGTGTAATATGTCATCAACAAGATAAATAAGTATCAAGCTTCATCTCAATGTGGCTTTTGGATGCAACTCTAACAGCTGACAGAACAGTAGTCTAAGGTTTTAAGGTAGCAGAGTCAGGAATTCAGAATAGAGGGCTGGGAATGTGGCTCAGTGGTAGAGTGCTTGCCTTGCATACATGAGTCCCTTGGTTTGATTCCTCAGCACAAGATGACAAGATGACTTGTTAGTCATCATCTGGTATCTTGGCTACACTAAGTACAAAGCATGGGATAAATACATTTGAGTGAAAAGGTAACACTTTCACACATGACTTTTAGAGGACCCAATAAGCCTTATACTTACATTTTGAAGCTGACACGATTCCTGGAACATAGATATGGGCTCCCCTTAACACTGCATTGCCACACTGGGCTCCCACAATAGCTTCACACTGTTGTTTTTTTATATCCTTTCTAGAAATGTAAAAGGGAAAAAGAAATTTAACAGAGTAATCACTTTTCCAATACATATAAACATTCCAAACTTTCAATATGCAATTGATTTTTCTGAATAAAAAAGAGGAAGCTGAAAAGAGGGATACAATAACAATACTTTAAAAAAAAAAAAAAAAAAGGAAGAAAGGCACAGAGAAAAATTTAAATTGAAAGAGGTCCATCTGGTGGAAGGCAAGAGAGTGGCATAAAAACTGCTTAATCACTTAAAAAGTATTACTATTTCCCTAATGGCATCAAGGGAAAATCAGATTTTTACTCTTCAATGACTAACACAAAAAAATACACAAGAAATCATAAATGTGGTAAATTAAGATTTCTTTTTTTTTTTTTGGTGCTAGGCCTGGGGTTGAACTCAGGGTCTGGGCCCTGTCCCTGAGCTTTTTCCGCTTAAGGGCAAAGCTCTTAACACTTGAGCTATGGCTCCACTTTTAGGTTCTTAGCAGTTATTTGGAGAGAAGAGTCTCATGGACTTCCTGCCTGGGAATGCTTTGAACCACAATCCTTAGCTCTCAGCCTCCTGATTAGCTAGAATTACAGGAGTCACAGGCACCCAGAAGGAATTTTATTTTAGTGCTGATCCTGGGCACTGTCCCTGTTTTTATGCTCAAGGCTGGTGCTCTATCTAAGCCACAGTTCCACTTCTGGCTTTTTGCTGTTTAATTGGAGATGAGAGACTCACAGAAGCCACAGGCTGGCTGTGAGCCACAGTCTCCTGAATAGCTAGAATCACAGGCATGAGCTACCAGCGCACAGATAAATGTAAGTCTTCTCTCCTCTCCATCCTTGGCTGCTCAACCTTTGAGTTCTTGTCCATGGTCTTGTATTCTATTCATTCAGTGCTCTATTAAAATCTAGATGTCATTTGAACACTCAGAAGACTAAAGAAAGAGGCCAATGTGACCAGTCCTGAAAAACATCCTAAGCACAGTATCTAATGCCCTCCTATTAGCATCAGATGTGTTGTTCCCCAATTCATGGCTTAACTGATTATGTCTCATGTTCCACCCATGATATCCAATTATCAGATCTTGCTCAACACCTCAGTTTCACTTTAGACCTTCCTGGTCTCACACATCTGTGTTACTCATACTTAGCCACTTTTTATTTATTTTTATTTTTTTGGTACTAGGCTTTTAACTCAGGCTTGCCTGCCCTGCTCTTCCACTTAAGCCATACCTCCATTTCACCTTTTACTGCTTGAGATGGAATCTCTTTTTTTTTCCATAAGTTGATTTCAGTCCTCAGATCTTAGCCTCCTCAGCAGCTAGGATTTTAGTTTTTTGTTTCTGCAATACTGTGGTTTGAGTTCAGGGCCTCATGCTTGCTAGGCAGGGGCGACTATTTCTTGAGCTACACCTCCAGCCCCAAACCAATTTTTAATTAAAAATTATGATATGGATTTATAGTAGAACAGAAATATTATAAGAAAAAAAACTCCTTTTACTATTCTCTTTCCCCAACCCAACATTCTCAGTAAGCCTACTTGCCTACGTAATAGCTGCCATTTTATATGTAGATGCACAAAAATACATTAAATTTTTTATTACTAAGGTTCTGTAATTATTCTAAGTATAGAAATTTATCTTAGCTACTTAACAAATCACGAACACCTTAATAGTACACTTAATTTCCCACCCTGAATGCCACATAATAATCTATAGGATGGAGAAACCACTACTCCATTGCTATCAATTTGATTTCTTTATGATTTAGCAATGTGCATATTTTTATATTAAAATGTCCTCTGTAATAGAACATCTCAATATAAAATCTATTTCTGATTTTCAAAGAATGTGTCTTAAGATAGGAGTAGGATAATGCACGGTATAACTGAACATGACTGTTAAATCATGAACAAAACTTTACAAAGCAGCTCAGCTACAAAAATAGGAAATGTTTTTCTTTGTACTTCTCTTGTAGTTCAAAAAAAGTTTTAACTTGGCACTTAAATTTTTTTAAGAAAATAAAAGAAAAATAAATGAAAGGAAGCTTTTCAGAAAGTGAAAAAAAAAAATCCCAATGATTTTACAAAGTATACCTAACATGAATTATTGTCAAGGTAAATGGATACATATCTAGTCCTCTTTTGTAATATATCCCACACCAGAATATGAAATCTGTGAACAATGGACAAACTTAGTGTCTTAAACAGTTATAATTGATCCTGTGACAAATATCTGCTTAGAAGACAAAAAAATATAGCTTGATAATAAAATAGTTACAAACCTAGGTCCAATCACAGGAATAAGTAGGATGTCCGGGAGGTCTGGATGTTCAATAACAGGAATATTCAGTTCACTGAACTGCTGTTAAAAAGAAACACGGATTTTAGAAAGCAATCAACATAGTGGAGTTGTCTTTCTTTTGCATCACTATACATGAGAGGAAGTTTGGTTTGTAACAATTTTTATCCCATGAATACTGGAAAAATAAAAAAGATCAGGATGTTTTCTAATTCTGGATATCTTGAGTTCTAGATAAGATTCAATTTTGCTGTCATGCTTTATAAACACAAACTATGTTTACCTCAAGGGACTTACTCTGAAAACATATTTCCAATATAGAATTAGGTGCAGACATCATTTTTAAGCCTCTGAATAAGAAATAAAAAAACCTTTTCTATTGTGGGCATACTGACATACAGAAACCTAACTTTCACAAAACTGTATACTTTTGTAACAATACAAATTAACACCATTATCACTTATTAATTTTTTTCTATATATTTGCTTTTCATCAACATTACAAATGGAACAATACAACATATTGTTTTGTGTCTTCTTTCCCTTTGTTTTTTCCATGCTATAGCATTTATTAATAATTATTTGCATTGATGGGCATTACCCCACTATAGGACTATTCTAGATTTGTCACTAATTGATGGGTTATTTGGAACATATTTCTTTTTGACTATTTTAAAATAATTCTATGATTATTTATGTTCAAGAACGTGTGCACACATTTTTGGCTGGATTGGAATTGCTGGACTGTGTTTAAGTTTTTAAAAGATTGATCAACTGGGACTGAGAAGGTGGTTCAGTGGTAGGGTGCTTGCCTTGCATGCATGAGGCCCTGGGTTCGATTCCTCAGCACCACAGAAGCAGAAAAGGCCAGAAGTGGTGCTGTGACTCAAGTGGTAGAGTGCTAGCCTTGAGCTGAAGAGCTGAGGGACAGTGCCCAGGCCCAGAGTTCAGGCCCCACAACTGGCAAAAGAAAAAAAAAAAAAGATTGATCAACTTTTCTACAAACAGATCAAGCTAACTTACATTACCACTTTGAAAAACGAAGCCTTGAGTTTCCTCCTTATCCTCATCAGCATGAGAAATTTAAATTTAATTCTAATATGTGGTCCAGAGAAATCTGAGGCAAACAACCTATTAATACCAATAGGGAAATCTCTTTAGAATATACATGAAGTGTGGAATGTGGAAGAGAAAATTTTCAGTATAAAGCATTACTAAATGTCCTTTCCTGCTAAAGTTAGATACTGCTCTATCAGTTTCCTATCCAATGCCAATGACCCTAAACTTTGTGACCAATCTGTTACATTACAAAAGTGACTACCTGCTCTGTCCTACATCTTTAGTTTTTATTTCTATCAGACTGGGACTCCAGAAGACCCAAATTTAGAAATAATCTCCTAGAAATGAAAACAATTTAAGTTTCTCCAAATTCTGACTGTAGTCAAAACTTTTTCTGTTAAAAGCAAAGTAAAATACATCTTCTGAGGCCTATGTATAAAGACAGTGTAAGGAAACTTACTGAAACCTGTTGAGCAATCAACAGATGAGGTTAATATAACAAAATTATGTAACATGAATATAAGAGTTACAATGAAGAAACCCATTTGTGTAAATTATTCTAAAAATAACTAAAAATGAATCATAGAAAAGTAACCCAAGGCAAGTATCAAGAGGGAGGGCAGAGGGTCAATGAAGAGAGTGAATGAGGATCAAAGTAATTTGCACATACAAAACAGATCAATGAAAGCTGTTGAAGGGGAAAGAAAAAATGAAGAATACAGATGGAAGGGGTGAGTATAATTTGAGTATACTTTTTGTATAGAAATGTCATGATGAAGCTGGGCACTGGTGGGGTAGCTCATACCTGTAATCCTAGCTATTTAAGAGGCTGAGATCTGAAGATAATGGTTTCAAGCCAGCCCAGGCAGGAATGCCCAAAAACTTTTATCTTCAATTACCTACCAAAAAAGCTGGAAATAGAGCTGTGGCTCAAGAGGAAGAACACTAGCCTTGAGCACAAAAGCTCAGAGACAACACCTAGGCCCAGAGTTCAAGCCCCATCATAACCAGCCAAAACAAAAAACTGTTGCAAAGAACCCCCTTGTAAAACATGTATGCAAATAAAGGAAAAAACACATGTAAATTGCTATTCAAAAAGTAATCAGCTGGGTACTGGTGGCTAACCCCTCTAATCTCAGATCTTACTATGCTGAGATCTGAGCATCCCAGTCCAAGCCAGCCAAGGGCAAGAAGGTCTGTGAGACCCTTAACTCCAATTAATTATCAGAAAACCAGAAGTGGCACTGTGATTCAAAGTGGTAGAGCACTAGCCTTGAGCAAAAGAACTCAGAGATAGTACACAGGCCTGGAGCTCAAGTCCCAGGACCAAACAAAAAAAATACTGAAAGTAATTATTTTAGCTGCTTATATTATATGTCTAATATTACTCTTAAAAAGATTAATATTGTCGGGCACTAGTGGCTCATGCCTATAATCCTAGCTACTCAGGAGGCTGAGATCTGAGGATCATGGTTCAAAGCCAGCCCAGGCAGGAAAATCCAATAAACCACTAGAAACCACTAGAAAACCGGAAGTGGCTGTGGCTCATGTGGCAGAGTGCTCGTGTTGAGCTGAAGAGCTGAGGGACAGCGCCCAAGCCCAGAGTTCAAGCCCCACAACTGACAAAAAAAAAAAAAGATTAATATCAAATAAGCCAAAATCTTCAAATCTTTATTATTGTAATAAATTCTGGTTTCTACACTCATAGTATAGCTATTTTTGTTTTTTTGTTTTTTTTGTATTTTTCAGTATAAGGGATCAAGCCTAGGTCCTCATACATGCTAGGCAAATGCTCCACCAATGAGCTAAATTCCCACATTAGTTTGTTGTTCTAACTGCATCATCTATTTGAAACTTGAAATTTATAGAACCATTCTTAAAGCCTCTTGGTTTTAGTTTGGTTACATATGAGGTAGAAATAAGTCTGTGGATTCCCATTAGTTGTTAAGCAAGCTTTAATAACTACACTATTTAGCTTACACAGTACCACTTGGGTGGACGCCCAGCTTGCTTTGCCCATCTTACAATACTTTATAGGAAAACTTCATACAAAATACAAAGTTTTAGAAAGCAAAGAAATTATCTAAACAACTCAAATACTTTTTGCAGTTTTAATGGAAATAATAAAATATCATTTTAAAAGTTTTCTCTTCCAGAAGATGAGTGTAATTTTACAATATTTTCTTAAAACAAAAAACCCCTACATTCCTTATATTGTTCTCATTTCCTTATTTTATTACTGATACTTTCCCGTGTGTTAGTTCCATTAAGTTCCATTAAAAATAAAAGCCTACCGATATTTGGTTGGCATCTGTCTGGGCGTATTCCAACTATACAATCAATCATTACAAGCTAATTGTGAAATGGTAGTCAGAATAAACATCCATATTTTAATGATAAAGCAAACAGGCTTGGAAACTCATCCTAAATCAGAATTATAAGTTCAAGTTTTAATATTATTATGTAACCTAGCACAATTTACATTGTTTCTAAACTATAAAGTCTGATTATTGTAGCTTTCATAGGATTTTAATAGGAAGCAATGACAAACTGTAGAAATACAATTGTATAAACCTTCGTACAAACCTTCTGAAGTTCATCAAGCAACAGATTTTTCACATGCTGAACTGCAGCTAAATGTGTATTTACTCTGACAGTTGTGAATGATGGAGGGTGGGCTAAGTGATTTAACAGAGTTTCAAACTTCTCTTCTGCTTCTTGTTTGCTTAAAGATACAATCTGAAAAAGAACACTATTTCAATCTTACATACTCAGCAGAATGTAAATATACATTTTTTCCATCTAATGAAAAAACATATTTTTCTAACAGCTCCATTTCATTTCAGTGTTTTGTTTAGTAATGATATACTTCACAGGGTTCAAGTTTAATGTAGTAAAAAGCAACTAAATGCTTGATATCAATCAAGAGCTTTGAAAAACAGTCTCAACTTCCAGCATAACATGATGAAAACATCTAATGCAATTAGCTAGGTAAATTCAGGATTTTACTCTACATATTTAAAACCACCAACTTTTTCAGCACTTACACTTCTAACATCATCTTTAGGGTATCACATTTTCCTAATCTTTAAGATTACCAATATTTGAAGAATACACTGATATACTCACAGTCACCCAAAGAGGATATCAATTTTATATTGTTAAATGTAACAGATATCTTCAGAAAAGATGAATAACAAACATACCTATCAGAAATGAAGACTTAACCATGAAGCCTTCCAAAGCTTTGACTATACAAGGCCTTGATCTTCAAAAACCAATTGTCCACCTACTAATCAACAATGCTAACGTTTACTTTCTCGTTTTGTCAATGCTAAATATTCCTTTGTCAATTTTCAAAGGGGGAAATCAAAGTTAAGTGACAATAGTTTTCGCAAAAAATAAATGCAAATCCTGTGTTTGAGATTCTAACCCTAAGGTGTGTGTTTGCAACAGTCCTGAGGCTTGAATTTAGGGCCTGGGCATTGTCCTGGAGCTTTTGGCACAAGGCTAGTACTCTATTAAGCCACAGCTTTCTTGGTACTTAACTGGAAATAAGAGTCTCAAGGACTTTCCTGCCTAGGCTGGCTTTGAACCTTGATCCTCAGATTTCAGCCTACTACATAGCTAGGATTACAGGTGTGAGCCACCAGCAGCTAGCTCTAACCCTAAATATATATATTTTTTTTATTGTACATGGTCTATCATCAGATTACAGTAGTTTTATAGCTATGTGAAATTAGGTTAATAGCTTGCTTCCTTGTGCCTTGAGTTTTCTCATCTGTTAAAATGAGAGTAGCATAAAATTCAATACAAAACACACAGAACTAAGAAAACTGTGGGAAGTTTTGGGGCTGGGAGGCATGGAGGAGAATGATGACACTGATCAAGATGCATGCTATTCATAAACTGCTTTGAATGCCAATTCCTTTGTACGAATATTTTTTTTTCAAAATGAGAACAGCCCGCTATTACAAAAGACTGAAAGTTAAAGGTTTCTCAACCATCTAGCACAACTGAAATCATTTACAGAGGCACTCAAATTACAATATCCTGTTCACCTGCGTTCCTGAATGTGGGTTCGAAAGGGGGGGGGGGGGGGGGAGGGGTGTGTGTGTGTGTGTGTGTGTGTGTGTGTGTGTGTGTGTGTGTGTGTGTGTGTGTGTGTGTGTGTGTGTGTGTGTGTGTGTGTGTGTGTGTGTGTGTGTGTGTGTGTGTGTGTGTGTGTGTGTGTGTGTGTGTGTGTGTCTGTCTTGTGGACTTAGCCATCACCTCTGTACCATCCATAAGATGACACATTTTTTTCCCCACAGCTAAGTGCTAAAACGTTCATCGTATTCACCCTCTTGTTCTCAGAATGAACACTATTTAAAACTATGCAAAAATGTCATCAAATACGATTATCTGACCCACCTCTTGATTCGTAAAGATTTCTTTAAGGTAGTTTTCAACTTCAGGTCTCAAAGATACCTTAGGAAAAACAGACATTTTTTTTTTTTCCTGTTGAGGTTCTCTTTCGGAGAAAATTGTTGGGAGACAGTGGTTTTCCTTTGCGAGTTGACAGCCGTCTTGACAACTAGTAGGCCGGCGCCCGGGTCTCTGGAAACCGCCGAGTCGGGCCAGGTCCCGGTTTCGGTGGCCTCGCCACCACAGTAGCGACTTCTCGCTTCCACCACCCACGACTTCTGTCCACCGTAGTGGCGCAGGCAGTTCCTTGTCAGGTAAAGCCAGTCACGCTGCGGAGGGAACCAAGGAAGAGGCCTTGGTGACTGGATGTTAAGCTCTCCACGAGCCAAATGAAGAAATCAGACGAGCGCGGCCGCCAGGCTTAAGTCCTCATTTCCAAATACGCGCCGACAACGCCTCCTCCGCGGGCAGACGCTTCCTGCTTGCGTCACTTCCGGACGAGTTCTGCCCACCCCTTCCTCCTTAGGATGTCCAATCCTCAGCCGCAAGTCGCTGCCCGTCAGGAAGCTGGGTCCTTTCCTGCAGCGCTTCCACCTGCGGCGGGTCTAGCGGGGCTGCTGGCCGAGCCCCACCCGAGGGCAGAGCTTGATTTCTGAGTGCAGGTGCTAGGGTGCGAATTCTGGTTCTTGTCATCTCATTTTCTTCATCTAACAAAGAGAGGTACTAGTAAGTTCTCCCTCTACCAGTTCTAAAATCATAAATGAATTAGGTGCCATGCTTAAAAGTGTCAGCTCTCTGTAAGTGTTAGACATTGCTATTCCCCACGTGTCGGAGGCCTGGCTGGGCCGAGGACAATGCAAGTATACTGTGGGGGAACCGAAATGGCCCCAATTCTGTGGTCAGGACCGTGAGTGCAGATTCCGGGAGGGTTTAATGAGGGTTTGTGGGAAGGGGTGTGTGAGGTGTCACCCTCAAGAACGGGGTGGTAACAAAGGGCAGGGAAGTAAAGTTTCTGGAGAGGAGAGGTCCTGAAAAATTTAAGAAACTGGATCAGCTTCAAAACTTCAGAGCTCACACCGGTCATTTATAAGCCACCATGACTGCCACCGAGCAAGAAAGAATCAGAGGCCTCTAAAGCAAGGCCTGTGTTTACAATGAATGCCTTGAGGCACCTGTTGCAAAGTGAATTTACCTAATATAAGAAGACTGCTCTTAATGAGCCCTAAAGTAAAGCCATATCCTCATCGATTAAGTTATGATCCAAGTCATATAATTTAAGGACAATTTGACTAGGTAAATGCTTTGACCTTCAGGATCTTCTGAGCCTTCTTTTTGAATATCAAACAACTTGGTCAAAAAAAAATTTTTTTTTTGTTTCTGTGTGACAGCACTAGGGTTTGAAACCATACTTATAGCATGTTAAACTGGCATCCTACCATTTATGTCATAACTCTGGAGTTACTTTTTTCTGGTTATTTTTGAGATAAAGTCTAGCTAACATTTCTGCTTGCCTGGGCTGGCCTTAACTATTGTCCTCCAGATCTCTTTCTCCTGAGTAGGATTACAGACCTGAGCCACCAGTGCCAGAGAACTTTGAATTTTACCAACATTGTTCTCACTAAAAGAAACGATATACTGAATTTTGTATTCCCTACAGCATCCAGAAAGCATTTGTTTCTCAACTATATTTACTGAATAAAACCATATTGATATCTTACACCATATGGCAGATTATTTCCGGATGGGTAATCTACCAACACCAGCCCATTTGGAAAATGATCAACTAGACTAAAATCACAGTGGACATTACCTTAAAGGTTGAAAAGCTTTTTAAAGAGTAATATTCATGCTTTCTGGCAGAACACACTGTTACTTGAACTTCAAACTATGCGCAAATTGATCTTGTTAACTGAATAATAAATTGAATTCAGTTGCAGCCCCAGCAAGTTCTTCCAGTATTATTTGTAGTTAGTTTATAACAGCTGTAAGAAATATAAAAAGTAGTTTTACTTTAAACTTTTTTTTTTTGCATTTTGTGAAACCACGGATTTTATGAGAATTCCATCTTAATGAAAAATGTTATTCGCAAATAATACTTTATAAACAAGTTGTAACTCTAGTGATAATACCAGGTCTTTTCTTTTATAATGACATGTTCCCTCATTTCATGAATTTAGCATGTAATTTATTTCCAAATAGTATTCTAACTGAGAATATTACCTCCTTTAGATCACAGGCTACCCTGAAGATTGTTTTTAAATTTTTTCAACGGATATGTTAGTCTCACACACACACAAAATCAGATAATTAGAATTTTTAACTCTTCCATTTAAAAGCGTATTTTCAGAAGTCTCTAGTTTGGTTAAATTATTGACAATACTCTCAAAATTTAATTGAATATATTATGGGTACAACATGATCTGAGGAATTTTTCCCCAACTGAGCAATAAGTACATTAATAGGATTTTAAAGTAATACTGAATTATATTCTGCTAATCAGCAATTTTATTGCTTTTTCTTTAAAAATTTTAGCTTTAAATTTTTTAATTATTATTTTAAAATTGTATTAATTTCAAGGTGGACTCACCAGCCATTCATCGTATGGCTGGTCTCCCAAACAATTCCTTCCAGAGTAAGAATCATGGCAGAAACCCAAGAGGTCAAATAAGAAAAACATCTTCAGCGAAACAAGAGATCAGCAAACAGCAGCTGCAGCACCAAAAGTTGTGATCTCTTCCCGTTTTAGAAGCCAGGGAAGGAAACAGTTCTGACACTGTCCTGCGAACGTTTATTATTACTTTTTGGTGCCAGTCCTGGGGCTTGAACTCAAGAGTCTGGGCGCTGTCCCAGCTTGGCCCTCTACCACTAGAACCACAGCTCCACTTTTTCAGCCGTCTGTATCGTATTTTGTGAATTCACTATGTAGGAGTTTTAATACAGTTAAAAATTCCAAGATACATAGTTCAAAGTGTCACCTGTTCATGGTATCACTTGTGGTTTGGTGGGTAATTGGAGTGGAGTCTCAGGAACTTTCCTGCCCTGGCTGGGTTTACACCCCGATCTTCAGCTCTCAGCCTCCGGAGTAAGCTTAGGATTTACAGGCGTGAGACCCCGACGCCCAGGTGAAAGGTAATGGGAGATGGTGAGAAGGGGACCCGCCCCAGACGCCTGACTCACCGGAAGTGCGGCGGGAGGGAACGCCACGTCGAAGGCGTGGGCTGACGTCAGCGCGCCGACGTCACGCGGCGTCCTTCCGGCGATGGGCGGTGCTGGGATCCGGAGAGGAGGCGGAACGGAGGCGGGGCCCGGGGCTGGTGGAGGCTCTGATGGGTAGGTGGGTTCAGATCGAGGGGACTACGGGTCGGCGTTGGGCTCAGCGGGCTCGGAACAAAGGACCATCCGGTAGGCGCTCGGCGCGGCGCCTTCCTTCCCAGCGGTAGCTGAGCCGGGCGGAGCGGCCGGCCGCGGCTCCTCGGCCGTCCGAGCGTCCCCGCGTGGCGGTCCCCGGCGGCCTCTCCTCGGCGTGCCCGCCGGCCGGTGCCGCGGTGGGGGACCCGGCGCCGCGGCACCTGCTGCGGAGGGACCCCCGCGGCCTGCCCCGGCGCTCAGGATGGGGCTCCTCCTCGCCAAACTGTGGAGCCTCTTCTGTAACCAAGGTGAGGAGGCGGCGGGGGGCGGGGGGGAGGCCGCGGCCCGGGCACCGCGGGGGTCCGCGCGGCTCCGCGCGCCGGCTGGACTCGAACCACCGGCCGGCGCCTCCCGACCCCGCGGAGCGTGTCAGACCTGGGGGGAGCGGATGGCAGAGACCCCGAAGTTCGGGGAGAAGGGCTAGGAACGGGGAAGAAGGCGCTCAGTGTCTGGGAACCCGAACTGTATTCTTGGAGTTGGGGGCCGGGGGGCGAAGGAGAGTGGGAAACGTCCAGGGCACCGGGCGGGAGCTGCGGGAGGACCGCTTCCCTCTCGGTTCGAGCTCCTACCCTTGTGTTCAGCCCCAGAAGAGTTTGTGCCCGAAAATCTAAAACTTTCAACCTCCCCCCCCCCTTTTTTCCCCTCTCTTTTCCCTCCCTCGTCTCTTCCTGATTTCTTGGCCTTGTCTTTAAGCGTGCAGCTCCTGGCGCCGGGCGCCTGCCCGGGGGACTCGGAGACGAGTTCATTTCAGACTCCTGGTTTTCTGGAGCTCTTCATTCTCACTCCACACCCCTTTTTTTTTTTTTTTTTTCTCAGGCTCAAAAAAAAAAAAAGCCTTGGACACCGTGTAAGGTGTTACGTGTCCGCAGATAGTCCAGACACAGGTTGAGAGGCGTGTGGAAGCTGCCAGTCCAAAGGGCTTGTGAAACCTGTTCCGAGTTAGAACCGGTGATGTTTTTGATGTTTGCGGGAAATCAAGCCGGGAAGAGTTGAGGGCTTCTCTGGACGAGAATGGTTTTCTAGTAATCACCACCAGTTTTTTTTCAGTCCAGGCTACTTTTTCTTTTGCCCGGCATAATTGGCAAGCTTCTTTGCTTCTCCCGGTGGTGCCAGTTTACTACCACTGATGTTCACATCTTTTACTTAAAACGTGAAAACTGTAAGTGGCTTTAGTTCTCTTGTTCTGTAGATTGACAAGAGAATGAAAGCAACCTTTTTTCAGACTTACAAGTATAGATCCAGACGTACTTACACACCCAGCGACGTGTGTGTATGTATCCGCAGTTATCACAGACAAATGTCACTTCAGTGATTTCGGAGTAGGGAGAGTTGAAGTCTCTTGGATCTTCGCTGTAAATTTACGACCTTTACTTTTTTCAGCAGTTTGTATTTTCAGATCCTTCTATGAATTCACTATGTTGGAGTTTTAATACAGAGTTAAAAATTCAAAGAGACATAGTTCATAGTATCACTTGTTTATATCACTTGTGTTTAAGGAATAAAAATTATCAAAGTGAGCCTGGTGCCGTTGGCTCATGCCTGTAACCCTTTATTGTTAGTTGAAAGCACGTTTTATTTCAGGCAAGGGGGAATACACATGATTTGATTATATAAGAATAGAAAATGGGGGCTGGGAATGTGACTCAGCGGTAGAGTGCTCACCTAGCATGCATGAAGCCCTGGGTTCGATTCCTCAGTACCACATAGACAGAAAAAGCCAGAAGTGGCGTTTGTGGCTCAAGTGGTAGAGTGCTAGCCTTGAGCAAAAGAAGCTCAGGGACAGTGCCCAGGCCTTGAGTTCAAGCGCAGGATTGGCAAAAAAAAAAAAGAAGAAGAAGAATAGAAAATGAAGCTGGATGCCGGTAGCTCATGCCTGTAATCCTAGCTACTCAGGAGGCTGAGATCTGAGGATCATGGTTCAAAGCCAGGCAGGGCAGAAAAATCCATGAGACTCTTATCTCCAATAAACCACTAGAAAACCAGAAATGGCGCTGTGGCTCAAGCGGTAGAGTACTTGCCTTGAACTAAAGAGCTGAGGGACAGCACCCAAGCCCAGAGTTCAAGCCCCAAAAAAAAAAAAATTATCAAAGTATTTGGTTTTCCCTTTATACTTCACCGGGTTCCTCACTCTCCCTTTTTTATTTTTTTAATTAATGTTTGTCTTTCTCATTTGAGGCTTCCATAATCAGTCCGGAAGGCAGTAAAATATTTAAAGGGTGATAGAGAGCTGATGTAAGACATTCACTGGCAGCTTTCTGTAATCACAAAAATTGTTCTGATTTCTGAGATTTCCATTTTTACTTAGAATTGCTCTTTAAGTTTCCTGGAAATTTTCAATTAGTGCTTATTCTGTTGTTTTATTCTCACTCTTGCAGCAGTTATGCATAGTCCATAAGCCAGTGTTTTGAATTAAGCAGAAGATGTATAAAGATTCGTAACAGATAAATAATAACCTAATTGCTCTCAAAGCTGGCAAAGAGTTGGTTAGACAGACATAGAAAAATGCAGTGTGGTGAGCTGTTTAGCATATTTTTGTCAAAATGAAGGAATTGGTTAATCTTTCTCAAGTGGATCCTGGAAAGCTGCAGAGTTGGTATACTGAGACATTCCGGAGACATGCTAGCTGGGCCATGTGATTCTAAGCAGAAGGACTAGTGTGCTTAGAGGAATGAAATCGTTTAGCACCTTTCAGGACGCTGAAAATAGTTTCATTTGGCAGTCCAATATCTTTGTTGCAGAGTTAAATGAAGTAAGTTTGGAGAGGTATATAGGAAACCAAACCACTGAGGGCCTGTTAAAAAAAACAAAAACAAAAAAAACAAGCAATAAAAGCCATTGAAGAATTTGGTCATTGAATGGATTTTAAAAGTGGAACAATAATGGGATCAGATTCATATCTTAGTCTGTATTGTTTTCTGTTAACCAAGTTAATTACTAGTCTCAGCATTTCCTGATTGCATAACTACAATATACACATTCAGTTGGGAGAGCTGGTTTTTATTGTGTGTTGGAATCAATGCCCAAGTCCTCACTTCAGACCTGTTAGATCAGAATGGAGTAGGTTGCCCAGGCATCAGTGAAAAGATGATTCAGATGTGCAGCTGGTGTTAAAGAACAACTAACCTTACCTTATTTCCTTTCAAAATTTGTATTTTGTGTATGTATGCTCATGTGTGTGTGCATGTTGGGTAGCATTTTAGAGACCCCAAACATCTTCTCATACTTTTCTGGGATAAGTATATTAAAATACATACTGTGTAAGTAAAGCAATTTTAACATAATATTGTTAGTCCTTGCAATTTTGTATAATTTTAAGCCAGAAGAATGTTTACTTCAACACAATTATAAGAAATAATTCACAATCTGAGTTCCTTTGCAAATGTCACTTTATGTATTTGTAGTTCTGTATGTGTGTTTTTATAAAATATATACTTGTATATGTGTGTGTGGTGTCTTTCGATTCTAAGGTTTGACATTCCTTTGGGGAGGGCAGCTTAATTTGTAGGAGAAAGTCTGGCTAAATGGAGATGGTAGAGAAATATTTTTGCTTACCATGCAGGAAATGGGAGTTAGACTTTTTTTTGCCAGTTCTGGGCTTAAGCTCTGGGCCTGAACTTCTTTTGCTCAAGGCTAGACTCTACCACCTGAGCTACAGCACCACTTCCGGCTTTTTCTTTTTATTTATTTATTTATTTGGTCGTGGGGCTTGAACTCTGGGCTTGGGCATTGCCCCTCAGCTCTTCAGCTCAAGGCGAGCGCTCTACCACTTGAGCCACAGCGCAACTTCTTGTTTTCTAGTGGTTTTTTTATTGGAGATAAGCGTCTCAAGGACTTTCCTACCCAGGCTGGCTTTGAACCATGCTCCTCAGATCTCGGCCTCCTGAGTAGCTAGGATTACAGGCTGGCTTTTTCTGTTTATGTGATTCTGAGGAATCGAACCCAGGGCTTCATGCATGCTAGGCAAGCATTGTACCACTAAGCCACATTCTTAGCCCCATTCTTTTTTATTTTTTAATTACTTGTTAAACTTTTGTAAGTTTCATCTTTCTATGTTCTGACACTAGTCTTCAAATTTATCTTGCGCTATTCAGGAGGACAAATGAAATGAGCGTTGTTTATAGTTCGCTTTTATAACTATATAACAGTAACATTGAAATTTGATGGTTTTCTTTTTGTCAGTGGTTTTCCTATCTTGACCATTTAATATTCTTCTTTTAAATACTATCCAGCTCATTTTATATTTTTAAATGATATTCAGCTTATTTTCATTTCTAACTTCTCAGATCTCCTGTCTTTTAATATTTTCCTTTTAACTAATTCTCTTATTTATGGACTTTGGTTCTGTTGCACACAAACTTGACACTATCTTTCTGTTCCATCTTCTAGAACATTCTTTATACTTTTGTAAAGTGCACTCTGTTAATTCACTCAGGTGTTTTTATTGGCTTATTCCTCAGATAAGCCTTCCTTGACTACTTTAGAAAAGTACTTTTTTCTTCCCTCCCTACCTCTCATTCTCTAGCATTGCTGATTTTCTGGGTAATGTTTATCATTAACTTGTAATTGTATTATACATTTATCGTCTTATTATCTTTTTCTTTCAATAGACATAACTTCTTGAGGCATGAACTTTGTCTTATTCACTATTATATTCACTATTATATTATATTCACTATTCAGTATTATTCACTGGACATGTGCTTATTTTGAATGCTAACTCTTAGTATTTTTTTGTTCTTTTGTTTTATATAAGATTTTATATAAAACTAACCCATGTATACTGTTTCTTTTCTTTCCTCTTCCTCCTCTTCCTCCTCCTGCTCCTCTTGTTTTTTTGTTGTGGTTGCTGTTTGGTTTGGGCTTGAATACAGGGCCTGAGTGCTGTCCCTGAGCTTTTCTGCTGGAGGGTAGCACTCTCACTTGAACCACAACTCTACTTCCACTCTGGCTTTTGGGAAGTTCATTGAATATCAATAAGAGTCTCAAGGACTTTTCCTGCCTGGCTTCCAGTCACCATCCTAAGTTCTCAGCCTCTTGAGCAGTTAGGATTAGTTATGAGCCACATGGGCTCAACTACCAGTGTTTCTCAAATAAAAACTGAAATACTTATACTCTTTATTTTTGCTGGTGCTATATACTTCCATGTTACTGAATACTGTACATGTATGGAAATTGTAAGCATTATCACTTCTCCAGTAGAAGAGAAAATCTGGTTTCCTTCATCATTTGTATATGCCTATTGGGATGG